GACGAATTCAGATCACAGATGTGACACGAGCAACAACATTATCAAAAACTTGTATAAGACACCCACTATTCGACTAACATTATCATTTTATCTCTTTGTTGCACCAAGAAAAAATAATACGAAGTACTCCGATCCGTATGTATTCTCTGTCCTTAACACCTTAATTATGTCCTTTCTTTTGTTAATAGTGTAACATACTTTGTCGAGGATGTGTCCCTCCATCTCCCCCCCACAAGTGATTGGGGTTCGATTCCTCATCCCCCCATTTCAAGTGTAACATACTTTGTCCGTTACCTATTGTTCCTACCGTTTTATACTTTTATGTTCATCCTTAAACTTCTTTTCAATTATTTGTACTCTTATATTTTATTTTTTCGTTTTTGTGACAAAGAAAAATCTTTCTACTTCCATCATTTCTCTATACGAATCTATTAGTTTGTAAGATTCTTCTCAATGTATTAAAACGATTAGTTCATGAGATACCTACGTAATTTTTATAAAACTAATACTAATGTCGAAATCATTAGGAAAGAAAAACATGATTAAAAAGAGAAAAAAGTGACATTACTCCGAGAAAATAAAGAAATTATAGTAGTATAAAAAATAAAAAAAAAAAAACACCCTTAATTAATAAACAAAACATACCTCGATAGTTTGATTGAGAAGATCTTGGGTGGTGACGACCCATTTACCCAAATTACCAAATGGATCATTATTACCACCCCAAAGAGCCCAAGATTGGATCTCTTCATCAGATGGACCTTCATACTTAATACTCACAACCTTTGTATTAAATCTAATGTGTTTAAGCAAATCAAAGTGATTAGCATAAGATTGAAGATAATCAAAAACTTGACTTTGGTCAGGAAAAAACTGTTTCAACTGAAGAAGGCCAAGCAAAATCAGTGAATTGATAAAGTGGTTTAGGAGTTTGAAGTTTAGTAGTTTCTACAGTTTGAGTCCAAACACCACCAATTGTGTTTCTTGACTCAAAAACTAAGGGATGGTAACCCTTAGCAAGTGCATATTTGCATGCTAAAAGCCCACTTATGCCTGCTCCTACTATGCCTACTTTCCTTTCCATTTTTAGTAGTTTTATTTAATGTCTCAATTTCTTAAGTTTAGTGCCCCTTATTTATAGGGATTGTCGTCAAATGTTGCGCGAAATAAGTCCAAAAACAGATTTGTTTTTTAAAAAGGAAATTCTCTGTATTAATTAGTCTTACCTTATCCTCTATTACCATAACTAATATATTACGTACACGGTACACCTGGTTATTTCTTATCGTATATGTCTGTTCGATTATGCACTTGTCGACTTTGTCGTTGTGCAACCTAGTTCAGCTCTATGTATAAGAAATTACATTGAAAATATGGAGTTTAAATGTTTAATAATTATTAAACACTTATGTACTTTTGTTTGCTATTGTAATTTTTTTTTTTTTTTATCAAACTTTAACATCTTTCATCATGATTTCTCATAAATATGAATTAGTGGCTAAGATGTCTCCAAATTAAGAAGATTTAGGCCCTGTTCTTTTAAGCTTCTGGGCAAAGTAGATTTTAACAGAGCAAAGTTTCCAACACTACAAAGCAGAACAGAGTAGAGCGGAACATATTTCAACAGAGCAGAACAACTCAAAAGAACAAGGCCTTATACAATCAAACATAATTAATTACTCCTTGTTATATGTACTTCTTTGTAATTAAGATAATGTATAATCAAAGCTTTCATATATTTTTTTTCTATGATATTATATTTGTTATACTGTAACTGAATTATTGTGAATGAAAGAGAAAATATTTAAATTTTAATTATATACTTGTATATATTGGTACTTATTTGTCAGGTATGTTTATTATATACGGAGTATATATTTTGCCCCATAGTGTAATGTTACTTTATTAAATTTCGGTTGGAAAAAAGTGATGAGAGAGAAAAGTGGTGGGGTTAATGGGATGGTTGTGAGAGTAGAAATGTGGACCCATATGTCCAAAAATAAAATGGGGCAAAATTATAGAGACAGACTAAAAATGAAATTGGGGCAAAAATTAAGGGAGAGAGGGAATAGCCTACTAGGCTTTATTATTGTTCTTGTTGTATTATTCTCCTTTTTTGCATGCCTTAAGTTGAATCATATGTTCTGTTAAGTTATGACGAGGCACATTTTTCTGAATTTCTGATCCAATTATGGTATCATTGTTTAGTTATTGGAAATAGGAAGCTTTAATTGATAATAATAAAACAAAATTGGAAGCTGTTGCCAGTATTACCGCACAATGATGCCAACAAAATAAGAAAGTCCACTTCTCACATGCTTCCATTAATTTTTTTTATTATACAATGTTTAATTGTTTATAACGAACACAAATGCACGTCTTCTCTAATTTATAGATCGTTACTCCCGTTATTCCATAAAAAATTGTCTCGTATTTTTATTCCTTATTATTTAGTAGATGGTCGGCTATATAGAATATAAATGATGATTTATTGCTTATATATATATATATATATATATATATTGACTTATTATTTATTTACTTATTTATTTTTTTAATAATTTGGAGCTAATAAATAATCCGCGTCTTTAGCAAAGGCCAGGGGACATTTAAAGTTTTAATAAGAAGCATGGGATGCATGCGGATTCTCATTGTTGATTTTTTATGTTGGGTACAACATTCCTGTAAGATGCGAATATATATGATTGTACGTTAGACATTGGCATATACACCATGTTATCCATATATGAGGGTGCAAATGGACTACTATGTATCACACTTGTCACTTTATCAGCGCATGTTATACACGTGGTGGCTAAATTGTTGTATGTGTTATTGTTCACGAAAATTTACAGAAAAACTGCAATTAGGGAATCAACCATTACATTACCCTCACCCCAACGAAAGAAAGGGGGGAGAAATCATAAGAAGAAAACTTATAAAAGTACGTACGGCATACATCTTATGAATTGTTGGAAAACTTTGTTAAAGTTAAGCGTAGTCCATTGGGCCATAGGGCTCAAATAACTCGGCCCAAAATCCTTTCTTTCGGTTTGGGTTTAAGCCCATGTCCTTGCAAAGAAGATCATTGTACCAAATATGCAACGCTCCTATGCATGGCCTTCCGTACTCCGTAGTACTTGGAAGAGTACAATTTCATGGACTTGTTCCATATTGAAAGTTCTTTCTCCATTTCTTGAATATTTGGCAATTTGAATTTTCCATCAAGTAGTTCAAATAACCAACGGCAATTTATTTCTGAGGTGTACAAGTTTGCAAAGCTCTCCGAAAAGCCTAGCACCGCAAGTTGTGGAATATGTGGATGAATACATTCCCTGCATAAGACAACATAGACCAATATGTCATATTTACTTTAAAATATGATCCATTTTAAAGTTACACTTTTATAGGGAACAGAGGAAGTAAGACTTGTTATAATTAAATATTTTAAAAAAATAGTAAAGTTATTACTAACCGATATAATGGGACTGTGTCATTAATAGGGTTGGTAAGGTATTTCTGAAATTTGATAGATGCAAAGATATCTCTAAGCTTTTGATCCCCCTTAAATCCAGTTGCAAAAATAACCAAGTCACTCTTTATAGATTCGCTAGGTTCAACACTATCATCGCAAAGTAAAACACCATCTTTGTGAAAGGTAAAAGTTGGAGATCTTTTCAAAATGATGCTTCCTTTCTCAACATTGTCGTAAGAAGCTATGATCGGGTACCATGTCATATTTCTTGATAGGGTGCTTTTTCTTTATATCATTCTCCACGAATTTGCTAATTCCCCATCTCTGTTTGTACGTACAAATAAAAGTCACATTCAAATAATTAGTCCTCACTACAATTTGAATTAGTTATCACACTATTCTAACATCTTATAACTAAAGTCATTCAAAATAAATGTTGAAAAAAGTACCAAAGAAGAAAATAATGAGGCTATGAAGTTGAGTAGAAAGCTTTGGCCAGGCTTATGAATCAAGAGTTCAGAAAAACGGGTCAAATACATGTTTGCCCAAGGTATGGACTGTGATACATTCCAATGTGGAGTCCTACATATAATTGTGCATGGTTTTTCAACCCCTGCAATCAACATTTTACCGTGTTAATTTCACGTCATTAAAAGATTTGTCAAAATATTAGGTTACAATGATATTATATGTAGTGATAAAACCAAAGGCCTAGTTTACAATAGTTCGTAAATTCAAACTCATTCCCTATATGTAATGCCCTTAACGTTCCTCATTTAAACCAACCAAAAAAATAAAATCTAGTATGTTGTCAATTTGTCAAAATATTAGGTTACAATCTTACGTACATTCTAAAAAATATATATATAAAGGGGAGTTTTTTCCTGTGTTTTTAGATCACCACGTAGGATTTTAATTTTTAAAAAATTATTAGTGTGCCAGGCAGGATTAATATTTTTAAAACGCTACAATTGGATTATGCCACGTAAGATTAATTTTTTTAAAGCGCTACGTAGGATTATAATAAAAAATAAACGCCACGTAGGATTAATATTTTTAAAACGCTACAATAGGATTATGCCATGTAAGATTAGTTTTTTTTTAAACGCTACGTATGAATATAATAATAAATAAAAATTTATCAGAGCGTCACATAGGAAAATGTTATATTTTAGCCAATGAAAAAAAAAATTGCAATTTATTTTAGATCTAAAATTTTATATTAATTTTTAAAATAAAATCAACGCGTTTTCCGTGTGGCTGACCATATCGTGTGGCGGCTGAGACACACCAAAACACTGATCGAGTAACCTTGATCGTCCGAGTAACTCCTAATCGATTGAGTAACCCTTGACCAACCGAGTAACCCCTGATCAAATAATCCCGGTCACACGGTGTGACTAGTCATATATGAAACTTTGTGAAATAAAATATTACGCATTATCTTTTTATATTAGGAATTTTTATCTAAATATGAAAAACAAAATTAATAATTCATTTTATAGTAAAAAATTCAAGTGGTAAACAAGCAAATATCACAAAGTTTATCAGTTAAATATATATTTAGTAAAATATTTGTTTGAAAAATACAAACAACCCGTTTCGCACGAGCTTCATCTAGTACAATATAAATATAAATATAAATACGCCTTCTAATTATACTGCAGTAAAATTAGTTTTAAGCATAATCCATTGGGCCGTATGGCTCGAACAGCTCAGCCCAGAATCCATCCTTTCTCTTTGGGTTCAAGCCCATGTCAATGCAAAGCTGATCATTGTAACAAATATGCAAAGCTCCAATGCAAGATCCTCTATAATACTTGCCTGAGTACCTCTTCATAAATTTCTCCCATTCTATAATATCTTTCTCCATTTCTTCAATACTTGGCAGTTTGAATTTGCCATCAAGTAGTTCGAATAACCAACGACATCTTATTTCTGAAGTGTACAAGTTTGCAAGGCTCTCCGAAAATCCAATCACTCCAAGTTGTGGAATCCGGGGATGGATACATTTCCTATAGGTTCATGACGTACATAATAAACTTCAATAAGCTAATCTAAATTTGATTTCGTCGTTATCTCAAAAAATTGTCTAATGAGAATGTAACAAAGGTCTTATGGAAGAGATTTTTGACATAAAGCTTAAGATTATACCAACCTGTACAATGAAAGTGTTTCATTGGAGGAGCCAAACATGTAATCCTTAAATTCGGAAGATTCAAAAATGTCTTTGAGCTTCTGATCACCCTTATATCCCGTAGCAAAAATAACCAAGTCACTCTTAATAGGCTTCGTCGATTTAATACTATAGTCGAGTTTAACACCCTCTTTATAGAAGCTAAAGGCAGGGGATCTCTTCAAAATAATACTTCCTTTCTCAACATTGTCATAAAACCCTTCTGGGACTATTGAGAGCTTACAAGAGCTAACTTCTTGTAGGAAGCTATGGTCCGGTACCATGTCGAATTTCTTTAGAGGATGTCTGTACATTATATCAAATTCGACAAATTTGCTAATTCCCCATCTCTGCAAGGAAATAATGAATGTACATTGTTACACTACTAAAGATTATGAATGAACATATACGAGTCAAGGTCGAAGAAATGGCCTGGTACGTACTAGAGGTGAAAGTAGTGTGGCTAAGAGACTAAGCAGAGGACCTTCTCCGGGCTTATGAAGCAAGAATTCCGAAAAACGGTTCAAATACAAGCTTGTGATAGGAATTCCCCAAGGAAAGAGGTCTGGTACATTCCAATGCGGAGTCCTGCATATTACCGTGCACGGATGTTCTACTCCTGCACTCAACAGCATCACATACATCATAATGTCCTACATCTTAATTGCGTTACTTTTTCCATATTTTTTTTTAGTAGTGTCGTCATATAAATTAAAACATATGGCGACACGTCGTATAATTTCTATATTTAGTTGTCACATAATTAACTAGCTTGTCAGAAACACGTACATGACCAACGTGTATTTTGTATGTAATTACTTACCATTGACAATTGAACACTCCATAGCAATGTCAAGAGCAGATTTTTGGAAGCCAACCACGGTAACTCGTTTTCCGCCGACTAAATTTCTAGCAGATCCATAGTCTAAGGCAGAATAATCCATAGAATGCATGACCTTCCCTTGAAATACTTCTGGTCCTTCGCCTGAAGGAAACTGTGGTATGTTCGGTAGATCGCTGAATCGTCCAACACACAAGATCACAAAATCTACTTCCATCACCTGCGTCATTAACATAAATAATAAATCATTCAATTTGCAACATCACTTCTAATTATAGATTTTTATCAAACCAATCAATCGTTCTTTATCAAACCAATTTGCAACATCACTTCTAATTAGTTACTTTTACATCATATTAATTTGTCAATGACGAGATACATTGAGGATAGAGTTGACAGTCTAGTATCTGATATAACACAATACAACACGAAACCAACCTAACCTGAACACAAGCCGATTTAATAATTAGATTTTTAATTTTTAATTATTATAATTTATACTTATTGATAATTAAAGATATTACTAATCAAAACTTTACATCGACATACGTGTTCAAGAGAAATGGAACAAGTAATAAAATATGGAAGGAGTACATACTATTAACATTTCTTATTAGATTTTTTATTTATAAATTTTAATTCCAACCACACAATTTTTTTTTTGCCGTTTGGTTATCATGTGATTCATGTCTCCATTGTACATATATGATACAAAATTAAATCACATGGCACCCATGAAAAGAATCATAAGGCCCCCCATTTGGCCATTACTACCAAGAACCACATCTACTCGTCATTTTCCAATGGTTGATAATATGTAGGGGTGGGATTTCGGTCTGGCAGTTCGGTTAGACCTCAGTTTGCAACGGTTTCGGTTTGAAACGGTTCGGGTTAAAACGGTTTCATTTAGACGGCGGGTCGGTTCAGTTCGGTTTTGATTAGTCACAGGTCGGTTCGGTTTCAGTTTATTTTTGTACGATTTAAATTCGGTTCGGGTCATAAACGGTTCGGTTTATAAACAGTTCGGGTCATAATCAGATCGGTTAGAAACGGGTCGCTTCAGGGGAGGATTTACTCGGGTCAATGCCGGTTCGGTTTTTAAAAGGTTCGGTTAATAATCGGGTCGGTTTGAAACAGGTCGGTTCAGGGGCGGGTTTACCCGGGTCAATGCCCGTTCGGTTTATAAACGGTTCGGGTCATGATCTGACCGGTTTGAAACGGATCGGTTCAGGGGCGGTTTTACCGGGTCAACGTCGGTTCGGGTTCATATCGATTCGGGTCATGAACGGATTATTTTGAAATGGGTCGGTTCAGGGGCGGGTTTACCCGGGTTAATGCTAGTTCGATTCATATCGGCTCGGTTTATACTCGGTTTGGTGCTAAAATCGTTCGGGTTAGTTTGGTAATCGGTTAAATTGGATCGGGTTGAAATCGAGTTCTAAAAAGTGGTTTTGACCAGTTAGCGCGTTTTGTTTTATATCAAGTTGGGACTAGTATTTCCATTTCATTAGCGGGTCGGCATAGGTTGGTGAAAAAAATAATGGATCGAGTAGAAATTGGGTTTTAAGATATTTTTGACCGGTTAGCTATTTTCGTTTTATATAAAGTTGGGACTTCGTCACTTTATTTTCAGACATCGGATTATATACAATTACACAAATATTCATTTATTCAATTATTCTATATCATGTTAATATGTTATGTTTCAAGTTTGGTTATACTCTTGTTGTTGTTTATTCGATATTATCATATTAGTCTATTACAAATTTATAATGTATTAATGTATTATTGTTTCATTATTAAATATATATTATTAGGTTATCAGCTTCTTGTTGGATTGTTTAGATATCGTGTCATGACCATGTTTTGATGAGTTGCTACTTTGAATACGATAAATCGACTCGGATATCAGATTATATAGAATTACAGAAATTCTCATTCATTCTATATCATGTTAATGTGTTATGTTTCAAATTTGGTTATAGTATTGTTGTTGTTTATTAAATATTAGTCTATTACAAATTTATAAGGTATTAATGTATTATTGTTTCATTATCAAATATTATCAGGCTATCAGCTTCTTGTTTTAATTGTTTTAAAGATCGCGTATAACCATGATTTGATGAATTGGTACTTTGAATACGATAAATCGATAATTGATATTGTAATAAACTAATAATTTAATGTTACGGAACTATATTTGGATGTTTAATTAAAATCACGATTATTCAATTTCCCATTAGTCTAATAAAGTAATAATTGACAATTGTTTGTAACTATTCCATAATTTTGGTGTTAAAGTTATATTGCTGAATTACTTTGTTGTCTTACCCTCTCTAATCACCTTTTAAGATTACGTGCCTACAAGGCTGCAACATATATATGTTGCAACTTGCAAGTTAAAGAAAACGGGTGGGGAAGTAGAAGTATTCAATTAGATCGATCATCAACTGTTTTAAGTTTTAATAATCAGATACATTTATCGATTATCTATACATACCAGTGATAGTATGATACCAATCATACCATACATTATTATTTATTACATATACTGATATACATATAACTAATATACATTAAATATGTCATATTGAATCAATTCCAATTTCCAAACATTTGTGTTTCTTACAATTTATAAGTTACATAAAGTTAAGAATACAGTAGTGTTTTTATTAGTACGTAGCTATGAATAAAAAAAAACATACTATCCAAATCCATTATCCCATGATCCGTGTCGCCGTCTTATATTAAATATCAGCCATTGATTTGCATGTCATCTAACGGCCTATCATCGCACACATTCCAATTCACGATCCGTGTGTTTTCTTTTCCACCAATCAGATCACTCTTACCATCGTCTCTTTAGTACTCTTTTTTATTTCTCTCTCGTTTTCTTAATCCTCTTCTGTAATATTATCAATTTTTTGAAGCCATGGCTGCTAATATGCTCACTGCTCTCTCGTTTTCTCTCTCATCTCCTCTTCCTTCTTCCTTTCTTCTTCTTCCTTATTTTCCCTTCTGATAACTTGTTATTTGGCATGATTTTAGGGTACTTTTGAACCTTGTTTTCGTTATTAATCGACATTAAAGTTCATTTTTTATCCTATTTTTATGCAAATTTTGTACCATCCATGCTTCACCGGTTGTTTGTGTTTTTGATGTAATGTAGCTATTTTTATCACTATGGACATGATCAAGCATGAGTGATCAAGGATAAGGGCAAGCTTCGTTGATAGAGCCATGGAGGAAGAAGGAGGAATGCCTTAAAGGGAAATGAAAAGCTTTTGGAGAACCTTGAAAGGTCGTTTGCGTAAGCGTCAACTTCAACTAACCATAACTTTTGATCTTATCAACCTTTTGAAGTGATTCAAATTGGAGATTAAAGTTCGTCTCAAGAGATTTCCAATGACTAGTCACAAGTCCATTTCCGACAAGAAACGTAGAAGTTACAGCTTCCCAAAGTTAAGCAGTCTAGGCAGGGCATCCTGCACGGACGTGCAAGATGATAGCACGTCCGTGCAGACCTTGGCAGAAGCTTTTGCCTCCATTTTGGCCCTCCTGCAAGTCCGTGCCAAACTTGGCACGACCGTGCTTAGCCTTGCACGTCCGTGCCAAATCTGGCACGTCCGTGCAGACGTGCAGTCGAACTCCTTCCTTGTTTTCTCCGTCCTTTTTATTTGGGGGTCATATAAATACCCCTTTAGAGCTCATTTGTACGGGGATGCAGTTTTTTTAGAGCTTTCCTCTTAGTTTGTAGTCTTAGAACATTAAATTCTCAAATCATTAGTTAGTTCTCAATTATTAGCTTGGAAACATTCAAATTCAATCATTGTAGAAGACAAATCCACCATTGTTGCTCACTTTGAAGCTTCATAGTAACCATTTCTTACTCATCTTTTCTACTTCTCTTCACTTTGTTGTTAATTATTTGCTAGTTCTTGCATGTTTAGATTGTTAATTAGCTTAATCCTTAGTTTGAACTTGTTCATGAATTGCTTGAAATCTTTAATTGCTTTAACCTCCATGGATTGTGAGTAGTCTAAATTCTAGGGTTTGGGTAAACCCTCAATGTAGTCACTAATTACTTGTTGCATGTGTTAATTTGGTTGTTGTGGGATGTTAATTAGTTGAGCTTAAGTGGTTTCATTGTTAGTTCTTGTAAGTGGCCATTGCTAGAACTATTCATCTAAGCTTTCTCAACGAAGGATCGAGAGATGAACTTGAGTTAGCTCCCTTATGCTTGATTGACCCGAAATGCCATGAGAATAGGAATTTCCGATCAAGGGAATGTTTATGTCATCGTGATTATGCTTTAACACTTGTTTTATGCTTTGTAACCACGAGAGTAGGTTGTATTCATGATTCAAGTAATCCCTCTAGCTTGAGAGAGTAGTTGGGTGCCTTAGATGACTTCCCCTAATTTATCCCCAAATTGCTATGTCTTGTATGTTAAATTGTAGTTTGTGAACGACTTAATTGGTGGATACCTTCCCGAGATCCTCTTTATTATTGTTTGTAGTTTTTCTTCATAACTCATAACCCAAAAAGACTTGACTTAGCTTATCACAAATCGATATTTGTTAGTGCTCCCCTTAGTCCTTGTGGGATCGACCCTTACTTACCCTTTCTACCCATTAGAGAGACCAAGTTAGGTTTTTATCTTTGGTAGGCTCGACGACAGCTTATCAAATTTTGGCGCCGTTGCCGGGGACTTCGGTTGACATTGTCTAATTATTGATTAGATGAGTCTAAGTCTTTGTACATATAATTTTTTTCCCTTTTCTTTTTCTTTTTTATATTTTATTTTGGGGTCTCTTCCATTGAAATAAATGGCAATTTTTTCCCTTCCCCAATACGAGAATGAAACATTTTGGAGATATTACCATAGGGTTAATGATTATGTTGGTTATAATTATGGTCATAGACTTTTAAAGGTGGATATTTGTGAAGTAATTTTTGAAGGTTTAAATGATGAAATGCGAGTTGTTGTTGAATCTATGTCCGAAGGTCAATTTATGTCTAAAACCATTAATGAGAATTGGAGTATGTTTGAATGGCTAGCTAAAGATACTTATGATTGGGAGATGGCTAATCATGAGATGTATGACCATTTTAATGGTGCGAACTCATTTGAAGAATGTGATGATAATGTTTTGGATTCTAATGTTTCGAGTTTTGGTGATGCAAATTGTCAAAATTCCCCAACTTTTTTCTTGGATT